AGCTACTCTGATCAAGACAATGATCCAAGATAATTCCAAAGGACTTCTTATAAAAAATACTATCCACCTCCAGAGAGAAAAGTGATGAACTCTAAGTACAGATTGAAGCATACTTTTAAAGCTTTATTTTTCTTGTCTTTTTTTGTGCATTCTTTTTTGTAACATGGTTAATATGGAAATATATTTTGCATAACTTCACATGTATAATTGAGATCATATTGCTTGCCTTCTCAATGGAGGAAGGAGTGGGAAGGAGAGAGAATTTCAAACTTAAAATTTCAACAAATGTATGTTAAATAACTTTATATGTAATTGGGAAAGATTTAATGAAAAATTAAAAAAAAATATAAAAATATAGAGGGTCAGTGGCAGCAGGGAGGAGATCCCATGTCTCGTAAAAATAAAGTGATTGCGTGTGTCGGCTCTGAGGAAGGGGGACTCATAGGGTTCCAAACAGAGGAGTATCTACAATGTAGATAAAAGATTCTTCAGCTCTGACTGCATGTGTGGGCTTTGACATTTCAGGAAATATTAAATATTTGTAATTTTTTGGGGAAGAGTCACGTATTTGTATAATCAACTTTGTGTGACAGTGTAATGATTTACACTTTTGCTAAGACAGATTGAAGTGATTTTATGAGGGACTTGTAGAATTCAAAGCTGAAATAGATCCTTTGAGATCTTCTAGTCCAATCCCCTCATTTTACAGATGAGAAAACCAAGGCCCATGGAGAAGTCCAGTGATCTTGTCTAAGGTCACACAGTTAATATTTGGACCCAGGTCTTGGATCCCAAGTCCAGAATTGTTTTTGCTGCACCATTCTGTATCTCCCCACCTTTAATGGCTACATGTGTCAGAACAATAGGATGGAATACTGGGACTCATAGAGAATATCATGATAATAACACATGTCCACCCAGTCTGATCTGATTTCCTTTCAGTATGGTCAAATTTAGGTCAGTGTGTTTCTTTAGTCTTTCCCCTCTCTTTGAATGTGAATCTGGCCAAGTCTCCCTTTTTCTTCATGGTTAAGAAGGTTACCTCTCCCTTGAGAGCAATCTCTTGGCTTTGGGAGATACCTACCCCCCTTTAGTATACACTGAGGGTGGCTTCCCTCAATTCAGAAGCTCCATAAACTCTCTACAACTATGCCATGGAAAGAGGCACTACATTATGAGGCAGCATACCTAGGTTCCTTTTCTCCTTCTAACAACAAGAAGCATTTTTTGTCACTTTAAGGCTTGCAAAATGCTTTACAAATATATGATTTTATTCTCACAAAAACCTGTGGCAGTAGTTACCATTATTATGCCCATTTTACAGTTGAAGAAACTGAGGCAGAGTTTAAGTGATTTGCTTAGGGTCATATGGCTAGTAAGAGAGTGAGGATGGATTTGAACTCAGATCTTCCTGACTCCAGGTCCAGCACACTACCAGTTGTACCACTCACCTAATCTTTCAGCAGATCTTTGGTGAATCACGTGATCTTTCTGGGTCTCAGTTACTTCAGTTGTAAAATTTGGTATTCAGTCCTTCCAGTTAGTCCCCATTTGGGGTTTTCTTGGCAAAGATAATGGAGTGGTTTGCCATTTCTTTCTCCAGTTCGTTTTGCAGATGAGGACACTGAGGCAAATAGGGTTAAGTGACTTGTCTTGGGTCACACAGCTAGTAAGTGTCTGAGACAGGATTTGAACTCAGAGAGATGAGTCCTCCTGACTCCAGGCCCAGAGTTCTATCCACTGTGCCACCTCATCCATAAAATGGGAGTTCATGATGCCTTAGCATTGTAGAGTGGGAAAGGACCTTAGGGTTCTTCTAGTCCAAACTCCTTCTTTTACAAATTAAGCAGCTGAGGCCCAGAGAAGTGAAGTGCCTTGCTATTTCAGTTCTAATTAAGAATCAGAGCTGGGATGAGAACCTGGATTTCCTGACTTCCACTGATGCCCCAGGGTTCTTTCTGCTGCATTCCTTTGCTTGTCTACTATATCACCTTTCTAATTAAAATTTTTTTTTTTTGCTTTTTGGTGAGGCAATTCGGGTTATGTAACTTGCCCAGGGTCACAACTAGTAAGTGTTGAGTGTCTGAGACTGGATTTGAACTCAGGTATATCACCTTTCTAAGGAAATGCTTACCAATAATCTTTTTCAAGCTATAAAATAGAAGAGATATTTTTTTGGAGTGGACATAAGAATTCATTGGTTTATAGAAGTCCTGGTGAGGAAATTCCCTCCTCCAATGCAGGTACGTTCTCTGTAGTTTTAGAGAGTTGGCTTGGGCATTGTGGGATTAAATTATTTGTCCAGGGTCAGAGACTGGACTTACTCCAGGACTTCCTGACCCTGAGTCATGTTCCCTACCTACTATGTCACGCTGCCTTTCGTTGACATGAAGGGAAGGGAATAAGCATTTATATAGTGCCTACTGTGTGCCAGGCACTGCACAAATATTATCTCATTTGATCCTTACAACGACCCTGAAAGGTAGGTGCTATTATTATTTCCATTTTACAGTTGAGGAAACTGAGGTAAACAGCAATGAAGTGTCTTACCCAGGGTCATACAGCTAGTAAGTGTCTAAAGATGGATTTGAATTTGGGTCTCCCCAACTCCAGGCCCAGCACTCTCTCCACTGCGCCCCCTAGCTGAAATAAGGCAGTGGAATGAGTTCTGGTCTTGGATTCAGGGGATTCTTAGGTTTGAATCCCATCCTTGTAATTTATGAGCTACCATTTTACTTTTCTGAACCTCAGCTTCCTTGTCTATAAAATGAGGATAATAACACCTCCTCCAACAACCTTCAGTGCCTGGAATGCACTTTCTCCTTCCTTCCCTCTCATAAAGTCTCTTCTCTCTTCCTGTAAGATGATGCTCATCTACTATCTTCTTCATGGGACTTTCCTGATCCCCCAAGCCTCATCCTCCTGAACTGCCTTATATTTAACTACTTTGTGTGTGTTTGTATTTGTCTACTTATATATTATATATGTATATATACACACATCATACTTGTCTCCTCCATCAGAATATAAGCTCATTGTGAGTAGGAATCATTTCAGTCTTTGTCTTTGTATCTCCAGTGCCTAACACACTGTCTTACACATATTAGGGGCTTAATAAGTACTTGTTGATTTGATTGGTTGAATACCATTAGTATGTATGGTCTATCTCACAGTGTTGTCTCAATGAGAGAATTTATGTAAAGTACTTGTAACCCTTTAAAGTTTTCTGTAAATACCAGCTCTTATTTATAATCACTTAAACAGATCAGGAAGTCCATGAACCATGTTTGTGGGTTCCAGGTTATATTCCCCAGTCTTCCAGGCTGCAGGTATTTGCCTGTTAGTATGGCTATGCCTTCGCAGTAGCGTATACAGAATCGTTGTCCCCAGCTCTGGGACTGAGTATACCCAGTCAACTTGGTCTGGTCTATAGAGTAATCACCTGCTTACAATATCACTGTTTACAGATTGTTCTCATTCTCCTGATCCCTATTGTTGAGTTTTTCTATCTTTCCTCTCTCATCCTCAAATGACGGAGTGGGTAGGGAATCTTTCTATTGTAAGAACAATATAATCTTATAAAATATTGAAATCAGTGTAAGGGGGGGAGTAAAAGCCATAAACCAAGCCTTGTGTACCGTCACCCTTTGAGAGAGCTTTCTAGGAATGTATTTATAATAAGCAGGTCTATTTCTATAGCAACTGCTCTAGTATCTATGACCTCATTTGATCCTCACTTCAGCCCTGGCAGATAACTGAAGGAGTCACAAGGAAGGTGCTACTACTAGGGGAGATAAGCAAATGGGAGTGGACCTATGATATGTAATTGCCAGAGGTCAGAGCAGAGAGCATCTCAGGAATTCAGGACCATGGAGAGCAGGGTTCAATGAGAATACTGGCAATATGAATATCCTGGAGGTGACCCCACTAAAGGTGAAAGCTTTTGTCCTAATCCACAGTTTCTAATGTGTTCCTTGTCAGAACAAGGATTGTTCCCCGTGTCAGAGTAGCTTAGAAACTGAAGGTAACTGCTTATATCCCTGATGGAATATAGGGTAGGGACTTTCATTTTTGTTTGTGTATCCCTAGCACCTAGTAGGGTACCTGACCTGACACACACAGTAGGCAACTATTAAATTAATTGATGTGGTCATAGAGCTGGAGCAGAGGCCTCTGGTGGTTCAGGAACAGAATCCAAGGTCTAGAGTAAACTAAGATTTTCTGAGGCAAACCATTTTTGACAGCTTTGGGTTATAGGATTCAGAGCTAGTAGGGACCTCAAGGACCCCCTAATCCCAACCACTTTGTTTTATTCGTGAAAAAACTGAAATTAAGAGAGGTTAAGGCTGGTTCAAGGACATATAAATAGTAAGTAGTAGAAGAACATAAAATGAAGGGCTGACTGTATTTCTTTCCATGTACAGTCTACCCTTAAGGAAACTCACATGGTCCTAGTACATGTTCTCTATTTAGAAATCCCCAAATAGTTATTCCCTCTTGCTTCACTGGTCTTTAATGTTCCTTCTTTCTACTCTGGAGATTGGACATGTAGCCACTTGAAGCTCCACATACAGAAAGAGCAGGCAACAATCCACAAATTTCCTTCCCTATGTCCAGAGTAGGATACTCTTGCTGACCTTAGAAAGGATATGAAATTGGGATGCTCTTTCCACCTTGCATCTTGAGGAATGGCCAATAGTTTATAGATGGGTGCTTTTAGACCACTGTGATCTGTATCTGTAGGACTGCCAATTGGAAAGAAGATATATATTTCTTAACATCATGCCTGTAGGTTGACTTATCAAGTATTTCTGATGATGAGGGGTCCGGGGGTTCTGCCAAACTAGTACATCAAACCAGTGGAGTAGTTTCAAATAGCTTCTTTCAGTTCTGCCCAAGCTAGGGTCACCTGAATCTGATCCCACCCATTAGGTACTGGTTTTTTTTCTTTTTTTCCTACTTGGCTCGATGGTCTAATATCCTGTCTTCTCTGTTATCAGGAGGCCCAGAAGATTAACAATGGAGCTACTCAGGCAGATGGCACCCTCAAACCAGTGGATGAAAAAGAGGAGGCGGTGGCAGCAGAAGTTGGCTGGATGACCTCTGTGAAAGACTGGGCGGGAGTGATGATATCTGCCCAGACATTAACTGGCAGAGTCCTGGTAAGGCCTCCTCACTCTCTATTCATTTTTTTTTCTTTTGCAATGATTACCTACTTAAAAAAAAAGAAAAGAAAAAAGGATGGTGTCAGACTCTTTCAGACCACCCTGGGGCTTTTTTTTTTTACTTGCTGGGGTGGGGGGAGTCTGTGTATGAGGAAGTTGGTAGAGATAGAAGAAACCCAGAAAACCCAGACTGTTTTATGGATGATCCTTTTATTCCATGGTAAACTATATCCTGAGTATTAGACCCAGGCATCCTTGTGTTTTCTGATTTGTGGTGGGGAGATGCTGGCAAAGGAGAGGGACACTTTGTATTTTCATCAAGAAGATGTGGTGTCATCGCTGTTTCTCTAAAGCAGCCTCCTTCCCTGTGCCTAAAGAACAGGAGTCTTGGTACTTTTCAAGGGAGTTCACTGAAAATGGGCTCTAGAATAATCTGCTTTGCAGTGATCACAGCTGGTGCCTCAGATCCCTCCTTCCTTTGCTGTCTTCCTTCCTGAAAAGTGGATGAGAACAGTCCAAAAAATGAAGAGAAAAGTAAAGAAAATCAGTGCATGGCTGGAAGTCTTTTGGGGCTCACGATTACTATAACTTGTGGAATAGTAAAGGCAGAAATTGCTGGTAATAGCCTCTCTCTCTCTCTCTCTCTCTCTCTCTCTCTCTCTCTCTCTCTCTCTCTCTCTCTCTCTCTCTCTCTCCCTCTCTCTCTCTGTCTCTCTTTGTTTTGACATGGGAGAGTCAATTATATTTTCCTGCTACTTAGAGACACTTATTTGCCTTGGGCCAGCTTCTTGACTTCATTTACCTATTTTGTAATCACTTTTCCTTGAACCCAAGTGAGTTGAATCCTACCAGAGGATGTAGGATCAAACCAGATGTGTATTCAAAGGGATTAGGAAATTACTTAGGAGCTAGGAACACACTGAGGCCAATAAGATTCTAGTGGATGCTCATTGCTCTGAGGTTATTCTATTTCCCCAGTGTATTTGCTGGAGGAAAGAATTTTGGATTTGGAGTGAGTAGCCCTAGGTTCAGATTCTTGCTTTGCCACTAAATATCCATCTAACATTATACATATCCCAGGTCTCCTATCTGAGTGATAGTTTCTGAATCTGTCAAATGAGATCAGATTAGATCATTCCTAAAATCTCTCTCAACTCTGGTTCTTATTCCTTTATTTTGAAGAAGTTCAGAGGAAGGAGAGATGACTATGGACTGGAGAGATCTTCCAGGGATGTCCTCCAGTCTGGTGAGGAGGCTTGAAACCAGATCATATGAGGATCATTGCAAGGAACTGGAGATGCTCAACTGGAGGAAGAGGCTTAACAGGGACATAATCACTGCCTTCAATCATTTGAAGATTTTTTGTGGAAAAAGGAATAAATATATATCTTATGTGTCTCTTGAGGACAGAGTGAGGACCAAGATGTAGAAGTAACAGAGAGGCAGATTTGGGCCCAGTAAAGGGGAAGGACTTCTAAAAGTTAGAGCTGCCACAAAGGTAGACTAGCCTTCTTTAGGTCACAATGAATAGAGTTCAGTAGCTCTGGAGTTGTTCAAACAATGACTTATGTAAATTACCATTTCTCAGGGATGTTATAGAGGTGATTTTTTTGTTTGTTTGTTTCATCCAAGAGTTGGGTTAGTTAATATTGAAGGTGTCTTAATTTTTTTTCCCTTTACTTGTTGATGGTTACATCTTAGATCCTATCATCTTACAGAATCTCAAGGTCCTGAGCTTTAGAAATTCTCCAATAACAACAATTAAAACCATTCCTTTGATCCTTCCACCTCTTATGCTCCCATTCACACCAAATATCTTTTTTTTCCTACTGTTGTGACTGTTGGTCCCTTGACCCATCCCTATGTTCACAGGTTACATAAGGTAGGGAAGTGCCTTCTTATTACTCCTCCTCTGAGCTGAAGTTGATCATTCTCACCTCTGAACTGTAGATCCTTGTCTCCAACTGCCTTTAGGACATAGCCCCTGGATGGTCCTTCCACCACTTCCTCAAACTCAATAAATTCAAAACCAAAAGTCATTTCTCCTAAAACTGCTCCTTCTTCACTATTTCTTTCTGTGGCACTAAAATCAATCAGTTTATTAACAGGTATTTATTATGCTCATAAAAGTACTGAGGATACAAAGAGAAAAATGATTCAGTCCTTGATTTTAGGAGCTTCCATTCCACCAGAAAAGACATGTACAATAAAGTATGTATGAAATGTAGGCAAATAGAGATTGGACTGGTGATTTTATTACTGTAAGAAATTCCCAGATGAGGAAACTTTTTCTATCAAAGCAAATTAGCACCTTCTTTGCAACTAATAGTCTTAGAGAGCTGTCTACAGCACTTAGAAGTTGAGTAACTTGCCCAGGGTCAGACAGCTGGTATGTGTTAGAGGTGAAAGTAATTAAAAATATTAAAAAATTTGTTTTGTTAAAAATTTTTTTCAATTACATGTAAATATTTTAACATTCATTTTTTAAATTGAATTCTAAACTTTCTCTCTTCCTTCCCTCCTCCACCCCTTGATAAGGCAAGCAAAATATTGATTATACATGTGAAGTCATGTAAAGCACATTTTGATATTAGCCATGAGAGAAAACATACACACACGACAAGAAAAATTTAAAAAAAAGTTTAAAAGTATACTTTAATCTGAACTCAGAATTCATCAGTTCTCTCTTTGGAGGTAGATAGCATATTTCGTAATGGGTCCTTCAAAATTGTCTTAGATCATTGTATTGATTAGAATAGCTAAGTAATTCACAGTTGAAAATCATTACAATATTGCTATGACTGTGTACAATGATCTCCTGATTCTGCTCATTTCACTTTGCATATGTTCACATAAATCTTTCCAGGTTTTTCTGAAACCATCTTGTTTGTCATTTCTTATAGCGGTAGTATTTCATCACAACCATATAGCACACTTTGTCCAGCCATTCCACAATCAATAGGCATCCCCTCAATTTCCAATTCTTTTCCCCCACAAAAAAAGCTGCTAGAAATTATATATATATAGATAGATAGATAGATAGATAGATATCTATCTATCTATATCTATATCTATGTCTATCTATCTATCTATCTATCTATCTATCTATCTATCTATCTATATTTGTACAAATGGGTCCTTTTACCTTTTTAAAAATCTCTTTGAGATGTAGATGTAGTAATGGTATTGCTGGGTCAAAAGTATGCAGTTTTATAACCCTTTGGGCATAGTCCCAAATTGTTCTCCAAAATGGTTGGACTAGTTTATAACTCCACCAACAGTGCATTAGTTTCTCAATTTTTCCACATCCCATCTAGCATTTGTCATTTTCTTTTTCTGTCGTGTTAGTTAATCTGATTGGTATGAGGTGATATATCAGAGTTGCTTTAATTTGTATTTCTAAAATCAATAGTGATTTGGAGTATTTTTATGTGACTATTAATAGCTTTGATTTCTTCTTCTGAAAACTGGCTATTCATATCCTTTGACCATTATCAATTGGTGAATGGCTCATTTTTTAAAATAAATTTGGCTCAGTTCCATACATATTTGAGAAATGAGGTCTTTTTCAGAGAAACTTGCTGTAAAAATGTTCCTCAGTTTCTGCTTTCCTTCTAATCTTGGCTGTATTAGTTTTGTTGTGCAAAACCTTTTTAATTTCATGTAGTCAAAATTATGCATTTTACTTCTGTGATTCTCTCTATTTCTTGTTTGGTCATAAACTCTTCCTTTGTCTGTAGTTCTGACAGGCACATTTTTCCCATGCTCTCCTAATTTACTTATACCAATCTTTTTGTCTAAATCATTTATCCATTTTGACTGAGATGTTAGTCTATGCCTAGTTTTTACCAAATTGCTTCCCAATGGTGAAAGCAAAGTTTGGAGGAAAGAGCATTAATAGCTGGGTAATCTGAAAAGGATTCATGTAGAAGGTGGTATTTGAGCTGGGTTTTTAAGGAAGGAAGCAAAGGATTCTAAGAGGGAGAAGTGAGAAAAAAAGTGAATTCTAGGCATAGGGGTAAAGGCATGAAGACAGAAGTTGGAATGTCCAAAATGGCCAACCTGAAGCACAGAGTAAAGGAAGAAGAGTCATGTATAATAACCCTGGAAAGATAGGATGGGCCTCATTGTGAAGGTCTGCCATGTTTATAACTTTGGAGTCATTCAATCCTTTCTTCTCAGATCCAATCAATTACTAGATATTGTTGATTTCTCTTTTTCTTTGTCTCTACAGCTACTGCCCAAGTAGATCCTCTCATTACAATTTGCCTGCACTATTTCAAGCACCTCCTAACAGGAGACTGTTTTTATTATCTTCCTACTACAATCCATCCTTGTCTCCATGGTCAGAATGGTCTTTCTTAAGTGTTGATCCCCATTTCAAAATGAGGAAAGGTACCTAAACCCACACAATAGATTACAGTCAGGACTAGACATCAGTTTTGTTTCTTTTTTTAATCTCCTACTTCAGTGCTGTTTCTCCCTTCCGCGTTCCATTTCTGACCTGGACCAATGTCTCGTTACAACCTGTTTCCTCATAAGCCACCGGGATCTTGGCTGTGGTATTTTGACATTACTTTGCTTTAAACTAATTAGGTCCTGTGGCTTCTTGGCCTGGCTCTTAATATTTGCTTGCACAGCCATTGCTTACCCACATGTCCGGGTTCACTGCTACCTAATCTGCCAGCTGGTCTCTTTAGAAAAAGAAATTCTACATAAGGCTAGGCCAAATCTTTTGTTCCTGAGTAGCTCACAAAACTATAGCTACATGGGACCTTAGAGATCATAGGATCACAGAATCTTAGAGTATCAAGAAGGACAAAACCTTAGAGTTTATCTGGTCCAATCCCTTGTATTTACAAATTGGGAAACTGAAGCATAGAGATAGTATACAATTTGGCCAAAGTCACATAGTTAGCTCAAGCCCCAGCCAAGACAAGAACTCATGTCTCCTGACTCTCAAGACTGCTTTCCTTATGTTATACAACATTATCTCC